TGAGTATTGAACTTAGCGTCCATAAAAACCCCAATACACAAGTTTTCACATTTTTTTTTGAAAAATTTTGAAACGGCAGCTCTTTCCACATTGACACCATATGTTTCAAGTTTTTACCGTAATCCTACAGTAATGAAGAGATATGGGTGAATTCGTTCTATAATTCAAATCTAAGATGAAGCCAGCTCTACAAAACGGTACCTGAAGCAAGGCAAAAGATTTCTTGGGAAGAGAGACATTGACGATCAAACGTTCGATACATTATTTTGGGACACCCTGTATATTAGGTCGGTGCAAAAGTTTTGTCAGTTTTTTCAATCCATCGGCAATCACGCTAGAATGAAGGCAAACAATCACTTCAAAATGTACCAGATGCAGAATTTCTTCCTCTTTCCAGCTGCTAAACTTCCATTGTGTTTCGTTGCGAGAGTGACGAGATATTTGCTGCAAATTACAACCACTCGTTTTTACCATGTCCAAATTTCGCTAATTTTCAAAATTTTTATATGACTTTCAAAGGAGCCCTGATAGCCAACAGATAGAGCAAATCTTTTGCCAACAGAAGCAATTTTTTTCTTTTTTTCAGCTGCTTTTCCAGATTTTTGCTAAGTAATTTGCTAGAAGTCTTGCGTTTTAGAAAAATTGCATAACCTGTTATCGCATCAAACACTGCAAAACTTACAGAAAACTGAGGTTTCAGCACATGATTATTACTACCGCTACCATTGCAAATTGAATGAGCGATTTTCGCTTCAAATTATGAAGATTTTGAAACATAGGTTACGTGAGTGAGCACTCCTGAAAATGAGAATTACTGCGATTTTCCCCATAAATTTCTCCTGTCTCGGCAAAAAAAGAAAAGTATTAGAAAGAGGAGAAAAATCTGCATCGAATGGTGACTAAAGTGTTTAACATTTTATGTTCTACGAGATAAAAATAGGCTGAATGTATAATTTGGTCACTTCAAAAAATAAATCGTAGAAATTCTGAAAGACAAGCTGTAGGGATACAAAAAATTGCTTCTATTGGCAAAAGATTTGCCCTATCTGCTAGTTATTAGGGCTCCTTCGAAAGTCCTATACAAAAGTATTGAAAATTAGCGAAAGTTGGACATGGTAAAAACGAGTGGTTGTAATTTGCAGCAAATATCTCGTCACTCTCGCAACGAAACACAATGGTGGTTCAGCAGTTGGAAAGAGGAAGAAATTTCGCATTGGATACATTTTGAGGTGTTTGTTTATCTTCATTCTAGCGTGTTTGCCGATAGATTGAAAAAAACTGACAAAACTTCTGCACCAACCTAATACATATCCAGGATATTACGCTATTTTTGAGACTAATATGCCTCAACGGGAGGAGGTGCGAGGAAACCTTTACATAAAGGCAGCGTTTACCCAAAATCTACTCACCACAGATTACTACTTATCCTACTAGCAGGCCCTAAAGTAAACCAACCGCGTTGGTCCAAGCCCCTAATGTTGCCTACGAAAGGAGATAACGGACAGGATTCTCTTTGCGCTCCGCCCCTTTTTTGCGCTCCACCCACCCACGGATTTTCCCGAGACGCATTCTGACATGACAAGCAACGTCAAGACCAGAGGTGCGATAGTCGGAGCCGATTCTCCGCCTACCTTCACTTTTAAGCTGGTACAGGGTGATCACCTTCACTTTTGGGTTTTGACTTTTTTTTTGCTGAAACTGAAAAAAAAGAGGAAATTAGGCAAAAAGAACGCAAAAGAAAGTATTGAGAGAATATTTTATGTAGTTTACTTTTAGAAAGTCGCCGCCGCCCACTGCGAGCACCTGGAGGCCATCACCAACTTAGACGCGTATACGCCTCAGCACTTTCTAAGAGAGAACAAAGCTTCATGATGACTTCGGACAACTGAAGAGTTCTAACCCAACGGTCCTCTTTAGGGCCAATAACTGTGATCCAACGGCCCTCTTCAGGGTCACAAATACGATGAATACAACTGCATAAATATTTTGAATAAACGTGTTAATGAAATAGTGTATTTGTGAGTGATACTCAGTAGACTTTATGTGTTTTATCAAGTACATTTTGTTATGACGTACTGCGAAGAAAGTAGGTCGATACAGGCAGTAACCGCCGAGAATCAGAATTTCGAATGTTAAAATAGTGAAAAATCATGAGATGATTTCATTGTTATACATCTGCTGGTTGAAGACGTCAGCAATTGCGACTTCATAGGTTTTGAATGGTAAGTGTTGTTCTACCAGATAGTGAAAGAATCAGTTTGATTTGAGGAGTGGTCGCCGAGAACGAGAATTATGAAATGAAATGAAAATTACGCGATTTTAAGTAGTTTAATGACTGCTGACATTTAAACTCTTATGAATCCGGACTTTGAAGGTGTGTGATGTTGCGACACATAGATTTTGTAGAGTGAGGTTTGCCCTATCAGAGTATGTCCCAGCTGTACCGAATTAGAACATCGCCGAGATCCAGGCTCTTGAAAGAGCAGGTAAAAAACCGTTTTTCAGCTCATAACTTCTTCAGAACTGCATGAATCATGTTGCGACTTCATAGGCTAGATGAGGTTTCATGAGCTTTCAGATGATCTACAATATGTCGGGGTTTCAATGTTTCTTGCGGCTCTAACCCGGGGTGGAGTACTTCTCTTCACTAATTCTCCACCCCGCCCATTTCAATCTGTTGGCTGGAGGCCGCCAGTGGAGAATTAGTGAAGAGAAGTACTCCAAACCCGGACACATGCCGTAGGATGCGTGAATCCCCCACATATTGTATATCATCTGAAAGCTCATGAAGAGGAGAATCTAACCTATGAAGTCGCAACATGATTCATGCAGTTCTGAAGAAGTTATGAGCTGAAAAACGGTTTTTTACCTGCTTTTTAAGAGCCTGGATCTCGGCGACGTTTCAATGGATCGGTACAGCTGAGACTTATTCTGATAGCGCAAACCTCACTCTACAAAACCTATGAAGTCGCAATTGCTGACGTCTTCAAAAAGCAGATTTACAACAGTGGAATCATCGCACGATTTTTCATTATTTTATCATTCGAAATTCTGGTTCTCGGCGATTACTGCCTGGATCGATCTACTTTCTTCGAAGTACGTCAGAACAGAATGTACTTGATAAAACACATAAAGTCTACTGAGTATCACTCACAAATACACTATTTTATTAACACGTTTATCCAAAATATTTATGCAGTTGTATTCATCGTATTTGTGGCCCTGAAGAGGGTCGTTGGATCACAGTTATTGGACCTAAAGAGGACCGTTGGGTTAGAACTCTTCAGTTGTCCGAAGTCATCATGAAGCTTTGCTCTCTCTTAGAAAGTGCTGAGGCGTATACGCGTCTATGTTGGTGAGGGCCTCCAGGTGCTCGCAGTAGGCGACGGCAACATCCTAAAAATAAACTACATAGAATATGCTCTTAATACTTTCTTTTGCGTTTGTTTTGCTTAATTTTCTTTTTTTCAGTTTCAGCAAAAAATCAATACCTAAAAGTCCGAAAAAAACCCAAATCAAAAAAACCCCAAAAAAACCTAAACCCAAAGTCCGTCCTGTGTCCTCCCCCTCTCTACCTCCCCCCCCCCCCCGGTCGACATTTTTGGGAGGTGAGTGTCCGGCACTACCACCTTCACTTTTGGCCGGCCAGTGGTAGCTGGAACCACCTTCACCTTTGGCCGGCCAGTGGTAGCTGGAACGGCGGCGGTGCAGGAGGAACCAGAGCCATTGACCTCTGTATCCAAGATGGAAAGGGGAGGAGCTGGCTGCGTGCCAAGAAGGATCTGGCAACCTTCCAAGCTCCGCCCCTTACGCTGAGCCTGGGTTTTGCCTTTTGTGCTCAGGAATTCGTTGAAGGAAAAGTCTAAGTTTAAAAGACTTGGAGTGGAGATACAAAGAAGGGGAAAACAAATTTGTGACCAGTTTTGAAAGGCGAATCTTTTGAATGGACTTTTGTATGTTTTCACACCGATCCAATTCTACATTCTTTTATTTTGCACCACTCTCGCCGAAGAATGATGTTAAATCAACTTTTCGAGTGATAATGATAAATGCCGATGAAGTGTCTATATAAGCGTGAAATCTTGCAAGTAATTTCATTTTCCTCTTGGTATTCGTCGGCATTCTTGGCATATTGTCTTGTACTTTATGGAATATGGAATAACCACAGAATATGCCATATTGAAGATACTATTGTTTTCACATATATGAGTCGAAGTCCTGTTGAAACAGAAAAGAACAAATACAAAGATTGGAAATTTGATGAACAACTTTTAGAGAGGTAAGAGTTCCGGCTCGATTCCAAATTATAAACTCCTCTTTTGACATTCTAAGTTTTGCTCCAACCTGAATGGCTTCGCAGAAAACTTCCTATTTCATATTGTTTATTTTGATGAGATAACTTTCTCAGTCTTTCACAATACTCACTGTAATAGTTGCATTTGCGCTAATCGATAGCCGATTAGTTGACCTTTGCAGAAGCAAGCCAGTCGTCTGATGAGTGAAGAATGTCACAATTCAAGTGAAAAATCTTTATTCTTTGTATTAACTCTAATAAATATTTTACTCGGGGGGGGGGGGAGATTAAGAAAAATGCGCAAAATAGACCTTATAAAAGTCGTGTTTCAAAAAGGTAAATTTGCGAAAGTAGATGCCAAATCATTGATCAAAAATATTCAAATTGCAAAATCAGACGTGTCCAAAAAGCCATCCAAAGCCGTCCAAAATCATCAAAACTTGTCTGTTATAACAGTTATTAGCAAGTGCGAGTTAAGTAAGTACGCCACTAAGACTGGTCATGCATTCTCCTAAAATGTTATCTCTGTACATAAAGCAAGCTTGCAATACTCTCATATACTCTAAATCTGACTTAGCATGCATTACACTAAACCAAATATCTCTAAGGTTTGAGTTAGCATGCAAACAGCTTCACATTGACGTGTCACACAACATTACATGCATCAAGCATCACTAACAAACACAAAAAAATCCATCGCAGCCTCTTAGATTGCCTTGTCCGATGTATACTTGGACATTCTTCGTAGATACTCCTCCACCGTGACGGTATCGAGGAGATTTTCACTACGAAGTGTCGCAAATGAGGCCATGGCGCCTTCAACCTTCTCCCTTCTTATCCTGTCCCTTTTTCTAAGCATCTTGGGCTCGCTCCTCCTCAATTCCATTCTTGCCAAAGTCCCCTTTGCCACAAGTGTAAAGCTGCGGAAGGCCAGTATCAGCTGCGCTAGGGGTGGATGTTTCTTGCCGAGAATTTTCCTGAGCCTTCTGAAATGAGAAACTTTAATAAAAAAAAAGTCAATTGCAAGAGCTGCAAACTCACCCGTGGTAGTTCTCGGCGGTGTTGGTTGTTCGCTGGACATCTACCATATACTTGCACCACATTGTCTTGAATGGCCCGTCGAGCCAGGTGTTCCGCAAGTAGTTTAAAAACTTCTTGCACGGCCCGTACGCAGGATGTTCGCGCTCTACGGGTGGCCTCCTCATCGCTTCAACGTGGTGAAAGTATTCCGTGGGGAGGAATGGAAGCCCTTTCAACGTCCTCCACCATTGGACAACGCTTCCGCATCTTTCAGAACCTTTCAGGAAGCGAAGAATTCCAAGGGTATTCCGTCTCCTCACCCACGCCTGGCTTAGATGCCATGCGCATCCTTCCACGGAGGCATTTGAAAATCTCTTTGCGGCATTGATCGCAGCCTGTTCGAAATCCAGGACGACTCTTAGTCGTGGTTCCGTCAGACTCAATCCTTCTATCGCCTCTTCCATCGCGGCTTTCAACTTGTTGAATATGATGACATAATCTTCTTCGCGTTTGTTCTTTGTGACCGCAAAGAGCAGCGGCACCTCGAATCCCCCTCGGCAAATCCCATGCACCGTATACACTTGCCCCCCGTCCACGCGTACTGCTCCACGTCGACTTCGAGGATTAATCTTGTGGATGCCATCTCCAACGAGCGCGAAAAGATCGTGCGAAACAGCACGCTAGAAACGAGAAAAACTATCTTCATAAATTCTATGTGTACAACTGACCCTGATGATAGTCTGCGACATATAGATATGCAGACTTGGTTCTTGCACTTGCAAGAACGTGCTTCCATCCGGCAGGTTACGCAGCACCTCAGGGACATTTGTCATCGTAACTTCCCGCACTGTTCTGTTGACAGCTCTAGAACAATATTTGCAGCGGGATTGGGTTAAATGTAATTTTTAAATGACTCAAATCCTTCTAACCTATTGTAAGCGTGTCGTCTGCTTTCATAACCATTTTTCTTCATATAATGCGCCATCACGGCATTCCTCTTCTCGGCATCTGTAGATTGCTGAATGCTCAGAGAACGAAGGCGAATACTCACTACCTCCCCAAGTCATAGTTTCGATTTTGTCGAAAACTGTAAGCCAATGGTTTATTGTTGGATGCAGAGTCGCTTCAGGGTTCCCGCGCACTTGCTGTAGACACTGAAATTCACTCCTGAGTTCTTTATTTGTTAAGGCAGACTGCACACCTCGTAGGAAAGCCTATCGGCTTTGTCCTTAGTTCTTTCGACTGGTATACATGTATGGCGGAGCATAACTGGATCTTCCAGAAACATGTCTCCGCTTACCTGAAAGCAAAAGGTCGGAAAAATTTGCAACGACCTTCGTATAGACATACCAAAATCGCCGTATATTTATTTGCCTTTTTGCAATGTACACAAATGTACCGGGCGATGTCCGACCGTGCTTTCTTGTTCTTGTACATGAACACGTACGATCGGATGCTGCCTGGAATTTCATAAATGATTACTCCGTGTACTCCCTTCTGACTTACCTCTCTGACTCCTGGAAAAGTAGGCGATTCCGCATTGCTAGAATCGCTTACGTTTCCAGAAGTCAGAGTATCTGATAATGTTTGTAGATGTTGCGAGTGGCGCTCTTCTTGGTGCTGGAACGGCTGTGCGAGTACCTAGAACTCCAGTTGAAGTATATGCTTTAAGTATTAGCTCATACCTGACTTCCAATACTTTGCATGTGACGTGACTGCATCGAATGTTGTTGCGGCATCATATACAACTAAATATAATGTTCATGTTACACGTCTCATGTAGTGCGAAATCTCACCTGGTTATCAAATGTCCCATTGTGAAATGACTCAGGAGGGGATGGCTGCATATACAACTGAAAAATTTCAAAAAATCAGAGAATAAGTAAGAATCACTGCAACTAGGATTGGATCTTGCTGGTACCTGATTGTCATGTGATTGGTACGAATTGTCGTTAGACGATGGATACGTATACAGCTGAAGAAGAAATCATTTGGAATCAGAAATCGAATTTTTAAGTGATACTTGGTCTCCAAATGTATGATGCGGGAGCGATTGAGTGGAAGGCGACTGCATATACACCTGAAACTAATTTTCTAATTACTCAAACCTAGTTTCTTGCTTTTACACCTCATTTTCATAGCCCTGCTGGATTGCGTAAGGTTGTGTTGCTGGTGGTGTGGCGAAAAACTAAATATGAGCTTTATGCAATGTTTTAGAGTAATAAAAGTGAACCTCATTTGCATAGCCTTGAACCAAATACGATTGGTTTGGCGACGATCGCTCATGGAACTAAACCAGCTCTTTCACAAGAATATCTCTGCAAAATGAAAAACCTGATTCTGTGTTTGTTGTGGCTGCACTTGGTTTGTTTGGGGGGACATCGTGCCGAACTGAAACTAAATTCCGTATGCGTTACTTAAACATAGAATTCAATTCTTACTTCATATCCATGATCTTGCTGGAGATAATAGTTGTCGGGCACGAATGTTGGTACTATTTCCGTCCAGTCACTGTACAATAACTGTTCACTGTCGGAATTCTAAAGTCATAGTAAATGCAATTTTTATTGCTGTCATGTAAGTCTGACTTACATTTTGTAAAAGATCAGCAGGAAAATCGCTGGGTGAGAAGAAAGGGAAGCTAGCATTAGACGACATGTTGAGTCTAGTAACTTTTTCATAAGTTTTCCCCTATTTATATCAGAAATTGTCCCACTTCTTTTATTCTATCCCTCGATAACTGCCAGCAGCGTAAAGATTTCTAATTTAATTCCTCGACAACTGCCAGCGGGATAAAGGTTGTCCAGGTTAGGTTCGCACTTCAAATCTGAGCTGTGATTTACTGAGCCTTCTCTCAGACATAACAATGATTACGCATTTGCATTTTACGTCCTTCTTGGATCTGAGTATCCAGAGTTTCTTAGTCTCTTTGTCAGTTATTATTAGAACCACTCTGAAACTTCATTTTCGGCTTGTTCTCCTGCTTTGAATCAATCTTTTTTCTGGTCATTTTCTAGGCTTTGTATCATCATTTCAATTCCGAACAAAATTTAAAAACAATTTAATGGTAGTAGTGTTCCATACATTGACTCTTGGAAAGATGGTTACTCTATTCATATATTAGGTTTATGACATGATACTAATTTTATTATCGTCCTGGTACCTGAAAACCTGTTTGAGAATCTTTACTGTCTATTTTTTCAAGTTCTACTCCATTTTTCAAGTTCCAATTCATAGTTTAACCTTTTAGTCCATCAGAATTGATCAATATCTGGTAGTCCATCCATCATTCTTGCTCAACACACAATGGGAGCATCCCGTGGGCGGAGCGATGGGCGGAGCCTCCTCTGCCTTCCCCATTCGCTCTTGGATACAGGGGTCAAAGGCTTTGGTTCCTCCTGCACCACCTCCAGCTGGAACCACCTTCACTTTTGGGGGGCCCGGCTCCACCTATCGCACCTCTGGTCAAGACGCACAGTTTGTGATGTGGTACTGTTGCACACGATGGGGTTTCCTGTAGCATACGACGCGAATAGCGCCGGGTATCCGTCCACGTTTGCCATATTAAGGCTTTAGAAAGGGGCAATTTTGAAGTTTTTTGGTGACTTGAACCTCATCTCCCGAATCAGCGTTTTGGAAAGGCCCGATAACAATAAAATATGGAGAACGGGATTTTGGATGTACCCTGCTTTTAAGTAGACGAGAGCAATACTGTACCATACTGTACCATCTGCGGCGGCTCTGTCGGCAGCTCCGGCGGTCGGCTGTCCGGGTACCACTTGCACGAATCCCTCTTGAGCCTGGTCTCAACCTCAGGTGCTGGCGATCCAGCCGGCCTAAATTTGAAGGGGGAAGGGAGAGAAACTGATCTATCTATCGCATCTATGAATAATAGAACAATACTATCCCAAATTCAGAGCAACAGCAAACGCACATTCTTTTTCCACATGCATGTATATTGAAAAGGGAACATATGCAAAAAGCTCGACATAAACTTTGTAAGTTACTGCAAATTTTGCTTTCATTGGGAAGTCAAATCACGCTTCTCTTCACAAAATAGCACTCCAAAGATGGAACTCTTCGCCCTTATTTCAATGGTCAGTCAATTCTCTCGTGCAGAGAGCGAATTTCATTGTAGGCAAAGGCGATGTCATCTTCTGCCTACTAAGGCAGCGATCCTTCGGTAATGACCAAAAAATTCATTAAGCAGCTGAATCACTGGGTACAACTCACGCAAGAAAATCTTCGGAATCGTGCGCGTAGTAATTCAAAAGTCCATGGAAAACAATATCTTTAAAGTATCTGAGCGAAACGATGTAAATTGATGGTTTCAGTGCTTTAGAGACATGAATAGGAAGCAAATCGAACAAATCACAAATTACATCAAAGTATTAGAGTTAGACGGTATTCAAACATTTGCAGACGAAGCAGTTGTTTGGAAGAGAATTAAAAGGTGATTCTTCTCCGTCCGTCATATAGTTTTTAATCAAGATACAAACTTGCGGCACCCTCCTCTTTACCTCCTCTAGCCGTTTACACACGAGTGTCAAAACATGGACTTCAAACAAAACGGGTACGCGCTTTAATACTCAATTTTATAGTGTTACTAGCTGGCTTACCCGGCTCCGCCGTATCCGGACCAAACTTGGCACACATACACTACGGGCCCCGGCGGGTGTTACAGTCCACTTTTCGTTATCGATCGATGTCGATTTTACCGATTTTTATCGATTTTTTTGCAGAGTTCACCTACAGGGCTAGGAGTTGGCACAGGGGGGAAGTGAGCATGGGGATTCCGAATACAATATTAGTTTTCAGAATTATCGATTACTTTTATTGATTTTATCGATTTTTTGTAAATTTTGACATGCGAGGCTGGGATTTTGCACGGGGGGTAATCGAGCATGCTGATTACGAACACAATATTAGTTTTCAGGATCGTCCATTACTTTTATCGATTTTATCGATTTTTTTTGTAAAGTTTGACCTGCGGGGCTGGGAGTTTGCACAGGGGGGTAATCGAGCATGCAGATTACGACCTATGACACCCGCCGGGGCCCGTAGTGTATGTGTGCCAAGTTTGGTCCGGATCGGTTCAGAAATGGAAATTTCTATTCGGAAATACGTACAGACAGACATACAGACAGACAGACAGACAGACAGACAGACATACAGACAGACAAACAGACATTCAGCTTTATATATAAGATAAGCTTTGTAAACGTTCCATAAATCAAGTTGTGTCAATCCTTAGGTTTACCATAATGAAGAATGGTACAGAAATAGCAAAAGACCCAAGTGCTTAGTATTTTCCAGAATGACAGCTATTAAGCTTACAAGTGTTCAACACTTTTTTCGATCATTTTATCATGGTTCTAAGGTACTATCCATCAATCAATCCACTTTATCCACAACTGCCAGAATTTGAATTTTAAATAGATACGCGCGTTAATACTTAATTCTGCAAGATCGTATGGTTAAGAGTAACAAATAAGCAAACCAGACATGAAATATTGGTGTTTTGCCCGTAGATCTGTTATGCTTCAGCCTAATTCTTGGTTTTTCCAAAAACGAAATTTTTGGAGAAATTCAATCTAAAAACCCAAAAAGCCACCTATAGTAAAAACGCATTGCGCTGCACTACATTTCTAACTGCTTGTCATTAGATTTCCCTCAAAAAAGTAGAATAGACTTCTCAAGAAAAGCAGAGTAGATAAGGTAGAAAAGCAGGTTAACTAAAGTACGGGGAGAGGGGAGCTCGATACATACTGTAGTCAAGACAAAAGTTGGAAATCTTCTAAAATATTTGTATGATAGTTCAGCAAAGCAACTAGTGCTTGTTATGACACCATTGCAAAAGCAATAACATATGTAACTTGATCTAAAAGCGCAGTGAACCTGATACAGTATTTGCTCTTTGTCACAATTGATTATGGCTGTTGCGGTGCATATGAGGAGCAGGGCGGATCTACAGTCTGTGTTATCACAAGTCAGTTGCTTGAATAAATGCAGAATATTGTGAAATTTTTAGGCCGAAAGTTTTGGATGTATAAGCTAGAAGCTTTTCGGCTTCGTTAACCTTTTGGTACAAGAAAAATAGAAAACCTCGGGCTCAACATGAGTAAAAAAATTCTAAACGTGTTTTCAGCGTATTGTTGTTGTGAGATATGAAAGACTAAGTGCTTCAATCAACTATCACTGTCTCCTGAAACGGAGAGAGGGAAGGAGCAACGCACATTTTTAGCTCCAATAATCTTGCTGAGCTTCCAATTTAAAACATTGCTTTAGCCATTCTCTAGCTATTGGAAACTTCCAAGTTTTAAGCTCTTGTCTCCGCTTCTATCTGAAATGAGGTTTGCGAAATGTATAGCCTCGCAATGAAATCAGATATTTATTTGGAGCTGCATAATTCAACACGAAGTTGAACATGTACCTCGATGCTAGACCTTATGAAAGACCAACGAACTATAATCATTCAATGCATTTTTTGCAACAAGTTGTGATTACAATTGTTGATTGAAGCAAAAAGAAGGCTGCAGTTTGTGCTACCATGTACTATCGCGGCTCTGAACAGCAGATAAACCGAGAACGAAAGTTAAATCAATGTCCCTCGAGACTAGCTTCCGTAGAAGGCTAAGTATTTTGATTGCACTTCCAAAAATACTGCAAATTTGTTATGTGATAACGCTTCGCATTTTGGAAAAAACCATAGAGTTCTTTTTCCAGTACCTATGTAAATTGAGATACACAGCAACTTTACATACGAATGTCTGATGCAGAGAGTACACGATTGTGGAAATTCGGTTTCTGTATACCCTATTTTCCGGAGTATAAGCCGCACCTGCCGCAGTGAACAATGGCGCGAAAGCGCCTTTTAAAAGAGCTATACAGCACATTGAAAATTCGGTGCGTTCTAGTACAAATAGTCATGTCTTTTTTCTTGTTTCATATGACTGTGTGGGTGTTTAGGTTGTGTTTTCTTTCCTAAATGATATTACTGGTTGATTGTGCTTTCTTTTTTCAGTGATGTTACTGGTGCTGAAGGTTGTGCTTTCTTTTATTTTGATTTACCGATTTGTTGAAGCTTATCACCTCTCGATTCCATGTTAACTGGTATTTGAACGTTCTTTTATTGTTCAGCGGATTCTTGAAGATTAAATGAGGAGGTAGAGAATTTTGTTACAAACAAATACACTTGCAAAGGAACCAAATAAAGAACGAAAGCAGAAAGTATTAGATTACCAGGCGAAATAGGTAGTAGTTGCTGCTTATGCGGCTTCGCGCATCGCGAACGACATCACATTTCAGCCCGTGCGCGGTGAAAAGAAATGCTGCTTATACTCCGAAAAATAGGGTAAATTTTCCAGAAGAAAATATAATCTTGTCTATTTTCGCATTTAAAAGTTTTTAGGTTTTTTCTTCAGACTTCACTTGGTGACTACATATGGTTGATTTTTTGATGGCCATTTGCACAAAAATACTGCCATGGCATCAATTCGTCTGTTAAAAAATTAGAACACTAAGCATACAATCTTTATAGATATGCTGGCATCAGTAACAGCTGAAAAAACCTTTGTTGAAGGTGATTGTGTACGCATGTATCCGCAACTCACATGTTTTTCTGCAATATAAGAAGCACTTAAATTTTTTTAGCATGG